GTAGGGAAAAAAACATCATAACAATCCTGAAAAATGTTTTCTGTGGTATTTTCAAATAATTGAATGAGAAGACTCTAATCCTGATTCGTGTATTGTGCTATAGTGATATGCACCAATCATTGCATTAATGTAATAAAGTGCTCAAGTTTGGGGTGTAGCCGTGTTGGTCTAAGGACACTTAATAACTATTCTCCAACCATTTGGGTTGGTCTAATAAAGGATATCAAATTCACCCAAGGGACCTTGTCTGCATAAAGTGCTCAAGGCATTTAACAAAGAGTATCTGTATTGTTACATTCATTGTAATTAATGCTCTCAAATGGTTATCTTTTCCATCAAATAGGTTTTCAATACTGCATATCCAAGTATTTCTCCTAGAAACACTTAATTTAATTTTGTTTTGGGGTTTTTTTTTTTGGAAAACTTTCAGGTCCCTTCACAGATGTTGTCACTACAAATCTTAAACTACGAAATCCATCAGATAGAAAAGTATGTTTCAAAGTGAAGACTACAGCACCTCGTCGATACTGTGTGCGGCCAAACAGTGGCATTATAGACCCAGGAACATCTGTAACTGTTTCAGGTAAAAGCAAATTTGTTTGTTTTTGATGTATAGCCTGATTTTTGTTGGTCTAGAATTACAATAGCTGTTACATAACACAATCTATGATTTCTTAATAGTATTGTTGATAATGGGAATATTGAAATTCTTTTCTGTAGTCATGCATGTACCTGCTCCCTACTAATTTTTGTTAAAAGCTAATATATGAAAATCCTGTTTACTGAAATTTGAGAGCTAGCTTCCTATATTTCTGACCTGACTTGAGCCTATTAACTGTCATTGATAGGTTTTCTGTATAGATGACCGATTTAAATAAGGTGAGGTTCAAAGAAGGGTTGTGTTGCGATAGGAAAGGGGAAAAAAAGAAAGGTAGTGAAAGAAATGTGACTTACCATATCATATCCTGTCCTAACCTTTAAGTATGCTGCCCATACAGAAACAGGAAGAGAAGGTTGGAAAGGATCAGAGCAGCATTAATGATTCTCTTGCTTAGTACTGGTGTATTAATTTTTATAATGTACCTTGAAGTTAGAGATCTCATTTTGGTTATTAATTTATGGTGGTATGTTTTGACATTAGACACGGTCTCAATAGTATTTGAAAAAGTAGTTCAGATGTTTAGAGAACACTTGGTTGGATCATAGTACACTACCTTATTTAAATTAAGAAAACCATATAATTAATTTGGTCACTAAATCAAACTTAAATAATTACCTTTCCAGATTATTCCAGGTGGCACTGGTACTGACCCCTATACGTAGAACTCTTCTGGGTTACAGTGCCTCTGCGGCTGCATAAATTGAAGCAGAATGCCTTAGTGAAGGGCACTGTATGCCAGCAGAAGGGTTTTTTTCTGCTGGTGTTGCTATACCACTTCCTTGATGATGTAAAGTAAGCTAACAGAAGCCTTTTCTGCAGCACAGGCTTTGCCAGCATAGTTGTGACACACCCCTACCTTACATAACTGTTCCAGTAAACCTTTGCGGTATAGACCAGGCCTCAAAATATGTAACACTTCATTATAAAACAATTTTGTGCACAAATATTTTGAAAGAATTTATACCTCCATTGTTCACAGCGTTTTTGAAATTCCACAGAAGGAACCAAACAAATGCTTTTTTGTCCTGTGGAATTCTACTCAGCTTTGACTGACATAACATACTTAGAAAAATTATCCTTTCCTTCTGTCCCTTGTGTTGTCATCAGATTTTTGGCAGTATTCCAGAATAACGAAAATAGAGACTGGATCCATGCTGTCTTCAGCAGTAGCAGCAGTAAAAAAAAGCAGGACTCTAGTCTGGGAACCTCAGGGAGCAGAGAGGCTGAGACAGGGGTGGGTAGTTATTTTGGGTGGAGGGCCACTTACTGAGTTTTGGCAAGCCATCAAGGGCCGCATGATAGGCAGCCAGGGGCAAGTAAATATTAATTTTCTAAATTTTTTTAGGGGCCTCACGGGCTGGATAGAATGGCCTGGCGGGCCGTTTTTGGCCCCCCGGGCTGCATTTTGCCCACCCCTGGGCTGAGAGGACTGGTCTGGTTTCTCTTC